TGTCACGAAGGGTGTTCATCGGAGGCGGCCTGCGGCCTCGTCGGGCTGGGGGTTTCTATTCGTCCATCAGTTCGTCCATGTCCATCCTTACATCTGCGTCAGCAGTTCATCTATTCATCAGCCTGCTCACACCTTCTCATTCGTTCGCCGTCACACTTCACCACCCGAGCGCACTCCTCGTCGTCACCGCCTACTTCTCCTCTTCCCTTCGCCCTTGCAGTGTCTTCAATCAGCCCGCTCAGAGGACTCCTTCGCTTCGCGATATCACCTTCGCCGGCTGAACAACTGTTCCCTGGCTGCCTCTTCGATTGATCCTCAGCCTCGTGCTTCACGACGTCAGGCGCAGTAACTCAGTGTAAGTCGAATCATCTCGGTGATGATTCAGTTGGCTGCCTCCATTTCTCGGAGAATCTCGTCCCAGCTACTCTCCTCTGATCGTTTTCTTCAATTTCCTCGATTTTCACCGGGATTTTGTTATCTCACTTTCCTAGCAAGGTCACTTAGCTCTCGTCCGCCTGAGCGCTTTTCACTGTACTTCGGCCGTCAGTAGCGCTTCAAGGTTGAACTGGCAACTGCCAGCTAAATCGTCGCCGTAGCGTTTACCATATGGCCGTAGTCGTCGCTCCGCGCGTCTCTGTCTCTCTGCAAACGATTTCCGGCCGCCAGAGGTCATCGTCATTGATTCAGAAGAGCGATGCAGGCTGGCCGTCCAAGGCTGACTGACTGACTGGTCGACTGAAGAACGGAGAGCAAGATAAGGTGCCTGCTGCCCATGCTGCTGAGGAGAAAGGTCGTGGAGGTCGTCGGTGGAAGTGTGACGTCGTCTCCTTGAGTTCACTGGTAGGCGTATGAAGAGTCTTTTGATCCATCTGGGTCCCTTATTTAGCGGGGTCCAAGCCAGCTACTTAGCAAAAAATACTACTGTATTCGAAATCCCACCAAGAAGGTTATCGTTCCACGAGCTTTTGCAGACAGGTAGTCGCGAAAGTACAGAATAATCGTGAAGCATCTTCTGTTGGAGGCTTCTTTATAGCACCCAACTTCCACTGATTACTTGGTAGTCTGCCGTACCATTGATTGTGTTCCAATTGATCTCTTTGGGATCAGTCGTTCTACGAGCTTCTGCAGTGCATCTGATCTCCCTCTTTCTTCAATTTACCTTCGTCTCAGAACTTCTGTCGATATGCTGAATATGGGTGTTATCGTTGATAAGCAAGTGGTCTTAATACTTTCAAACTAGTTGGTTCCTATGGTGGCAATCAAAGGTTTTCTTTCTTCACTTCAGATGTATTTTAGCGAGTATCGCCAAAAGCGCATCCATCTATGTAGATGCCTTCTTACAATTCTCTGAAAACATGGACTGCATTCTAATGCTTTGTGCAAGTTTTCCTCTCTAGTCCTTAGGAATTACCCCTTTCAGCCTAACAGTGGTTTTTTCAGTTTTTTTTTTCTCTTTTCATCGTGCCGATCTCCTGTCGGTTTGATAGTGAATATAGCTAGTGAGTGAGATAGCTCATGTATGACTATGGAAAAAAGTAAATTGTTACTGGTTGAGTGATAGCAACCTCCCAATCATGAGAGCATACTCGCAGGTAATCAAATGAGAGCTACAAAAGCTGCAGGAAACATGGTCCTACAGGCTCTTACAAAGTCATTTTTTCTTCCTACTATCAGAATCACTGGGCAAAGACCAAATCGTAGGCAGGAAGGTGGATTTTGTTCGTTCGACTCCCTCTTCCTTCATTCAGGAATCTTGATAAAAACGTCTTCAGCCTCCTACCTTCACTATACGTCAGTCTTCATATGTAAACACTAATTGCAGGGATTGTGAGACATTTGCACTTGAACAGGGAATCTCTGTAAAAATAGCTTGACGTCGTTTTCTGATGATCTCAAGAAAGGTTTCCTTTTTACGTTGTCCTTTAGTACATCCAGTAAAGTTCAGCTTTCAGAGTCTCTGCTTTGCAAACGTACTGTGGTGGGTATCTCCATCGCCGAATCTCGGCCATAGATTAGTTGGTAGTTCCGAATTCCCAGGTCAGGTGAGGCTTTCTCGTCGTCGCTGCGGTGACGGGGCTCTGTTTGCTCTGTATCGACCCAGCATGTCGTGAGTCTTGTCGAGCAGAAGTGCGCAGCAGGGCGGTTTTTCTTCGGCCACGACGTCGACCTCGCCTCTCGTCCTTAGTTCATCAGAGAAAGGGCACACCTGGCTCCTGAGAGATATCAGGTCATCGCTCTGACCTTCATAATTGTTGCCCCTTCGATGACGATGCCCGACAAGCCTTCATTCTTTTCAGGCCGGCTCTTTGCTTCATGCTTCACCATATTTACCGATTTTTCGAAACGGCACGTGCAGCTTTTCCTTCTCAATGTCATCGTTACTTTTCAAAGAGATCTAGAGAATTTCCTGATGATAAGAGGGAAAGGGTGTTCTGGGGATGGTTATGAACGTAATCTGTCCGGGGAACTTCTCCATTGCCCATCGTCGTCATCATCATTGTCGACGTCGTTGGTAGATAGTTGTGGTGAGACTAGAAACTAGTTTCGTATCGTTGTCGTCACCCGCGCTGACGTTCCCAACGTCGCTCTATTCATCTGTGGCGTCGTCGATCGCTACAACACTTGTGACTACACCAGGGAGCCTAGCGACGATGCAGAGGGGAGGGACCGGGTGCACAGTAGCTCATCGTCACCGCCGTTGACATCGTTCGGTGCGGGAGAAGAAGGTATCGAGACCGGTTATCGTAAGTCCGTTTGTCGAGTGCTGTTCACATCATCATCTCGACTTTGCTGTCGTCAACCGATTGCTAGTTCTACCTTTGTCTCGGATGAAGCTCGGCCCTACTTCAAACATCATCAGTACCCTTTCGTAATCGCAGAAGATTTCCGAGCAAAGGGCACCGTGTAAGTGGCGTGTCTCATCGAAAGCTTAGCTCTCTTCATATTAGTAACATCGCTGCAGTAATGCAAGTTTTTCAAATTGCTCCTTGTGAATTGAGACTTTCTCGATTGTGTTGGTAACGTGAAGGGTTTTGTAGTAGGGCACAGAAGCGGCCGGTCTGTACTATAGTAATCTACCGTACAGGTCAACTTTCTCTTCCCCGATGATAATTTTCCATTCAATCGACCGAGTAGGAATGGTTGTTCGGATCGATCCGGGATTTGATCTTCGGAGTACGTGTATTGTGGCTACGCAGTTTGGCACTACTTCACTTCATTCCTGCTTCTTTCCTGTCATTCATTCGGCTACTGGTTGGAATAGAAAGTTTATCATCTGATAGCCCAATTTTTACTTTTCTCTGAATTGGTGCTCTACATCTTGTTCTGTGCGTGGATTTTTTTTTTTGATTTTTGAACTTCGCTTTACTTCATTTAATCATTCTTACTAACATCATTAATATCATTGAAGTGTTCTTATGTTGATTTCCGGTCTCCCTTTCCTCATCATATCATTAATTACATCTATGGGTCACAATTTTCGTTATGTTCGAATTCGATTCATACAAAGCATCGGTGCCAGCGTTCGGGAGGTAAGGAAGTGAAAATCTTTACAAGCGAATGCGGAGAGGTTCTTTTTTTGGAGATAACTGCAGAATTCTTTATTCAAAGTTACTAGGATCTGTTTGTAATGACGTAAACATATAAGGATGCGTTTGCGTGCCGGGAAGGGAGGTTTCTTTGATGTTTGTACTGCTTCCCTAAAACAGAGAACATTCAGTTTCATTGTCGATTCCTATCTGTTTCATTGTTTTGCTCTAGTGTAGTATAATCCTCGTGATGTTACGCGATGATCGATGATGACCTCTTATTCGGCAAATTTGCTGATCATCTGTGTCCATTTTCAGTGTTGTGAATGCGTTGAATGCATCCGCCTTCGTCACCGTCGTCTATGCAAGAAGTGGTGTCATCGACGTCAGGGCAACAGCAACAACTTCAAAATCAGCAATCGCTCATGCAACGTCTTCTCATGGGCGGTGGTAGTACAACAGCACAAACGTCGAGTGCAGCACGGAACGGTATCGAAGATATCGCTGCTCGACTCCACAAACAAAACGGCAATGCTGCCGCACCAATTAATCCCACCGGAAACGGTTATTTTTCGGTACGCTCATTTCCATCTTTTATTTCATACAAATGTTTTTGCAGTTTGCATTGTCAGAGAGTAAACGTGAAAATTGCTAATGATTCTTCACTGTATACCCATTTCTAAACTAGTCGTGGGCTGGCTGAAGTGCAAGCATTTCACGATGTTGGAATGGCTGAGTGATTTTCGGACATAACTACATCGTCTTCTTGAAGCTGCAGCAATGAATGAGTCGGCATGCTCGTTGTCTGTCGTCGGGGATTGCGCTTGGTAAATGGAAGAAGTACGAGGCGCCCACAACTGTGCAATCCTGGAATGCTCTGTTGACACAGTGTTTTACTAGACTCCTTTAATGACCTCGGGAAAGTCTGATATTCTATCGATGGATGCAAAAAGTATAGGCATTGGCGTCTTGAAAAGGCATTTATTACATTCTGAAATGAGCCTATTCGGTCTACCTTCATTCATATATAGGCTAGGACTTGAGATCATATTTGACACACGAACATTTCCTCATGGTATCAAATGTAGAAGTTGATGTTTTTATAATTTTGAATGGATATGCTTTCATTCTCTCAGGATATCCTCGACCTTAGATGGAAGGAATTGGTTGGTTGGAACGGATTGGTTCCAGCGTTCCATTTACAGACCTTTAGTATAACTTGAATCCTATCATACTTAGCTTTTTCTGTGTACCTTAATCGGATGGTCGTTGCGGAATCGGGCTCGGAATTCAGCAACGACTAGCAAGCGCAGCATTTGTGTTTCCTCTCAATATGTTAGACCTGTGTAAAAGAATAATGAGCATTCTGAACTTGAAGTAAAATAAGGGAATCACTACAATGAAATTTGTTCACTGAAGCTTCTCTCCTCCTTGAATGTAAATGATTCTTCCCGGCTTCACCTTATTGGGTAATATCTCAAGCCTTCCTTACTCTGTGTTGGATCACCACTTCCTTACCATATGCTGGCCGACACGAGGAAGAAGTTTGTTCATTCCTTGTTATTGCTGAATCACTCTTCCTCTTCATCGTAACTTTCCGACTCATTTGTCAAATGGTCTTGTTGGAAGATATACGATACACCATTGTTCCTTGAGATAAATTTCATGGGCAGTGCGTGGGCAGCTCTATTAAGTTTGCTGGATGAACCCTCCAAAACACCCCTTTTTGGTTTAACTTTGGGTGGTTATTGGTTCGAGCATCTAAAAGGATTAGAGATGTTGTAGACGGATCTCACAACGTCATGGGGCGATCAATTGAGTATTTCCAACAACACGCCCATGATGCATTTGACATGTCTGGAATGTGGAATCAACAAGAACAACAGCGAGGATATGGAGGTAGGTGCTTTTCTATGTATTACTTCTATCTGTTTCATATTAAAATGTTTCCATATAAAATCTGCGTCTCCATTTTGTTTGTGTTTGAAGAGATCACTAAATACTAAATAAAGGAAATAGTTTACAAGAAATGTGTTTCTTAGAGTTTTTTTTGGCGGAATACGTACACACAGAATTGTATACTTTCCTGAGTTCCTGTTGAGTTGAGCGCCAACTTTTTGAGACATGCCTCTGTTCTTTTTCTTTAAGCAGCAATTGCCTTTATTTAGGTGCATCTGAAGCGCGAACATCTGAACTGGTTGCCGTTTCAGTGTCCAATATGCCTTTCAGAAAGAGCGTCTGATGCTGAAATGAGGGAGCACCTACATTCTTCGCATCGAAAGAACATGAATAAGGTTAGTTCAACCCCAGGGTTTTGTGACTATTAATTGTAATTTAACGATTCTTGGGCAGTTTCTCATAATACAGACATTCCTTTCTCAGTTCTTTCCCTGATAGTAGCAGGTAGTCATGACACTTTAAAACTTCGATAGCTTAGTTCCGGGTGAAATACCAATTCGTATTCCTAAGCGGCCTATATGGCAGATCTTAATGCTGTACAAATAGCAACTCTTAGAGAATATGTGAGTAGTTTTTCTTAGTGAAACAGTCAGTCATCTACGTCCAGCTCGGAGTTCTATTTAGACACAGAGGCCAATTAATAGGATCGTGTAGTTTTGTGTTCGACGAAATCCATTCCAAAGCTTTTGAAGCTGACAGTAGAGCATTGTCGATCTGTGAAGCCAACCTTCTCGACGTGAGTCGTGAATACAGAGGAACTTTGAGATGTTACTACTCAATTCGATGGCTGGGATCCTTGTCATTATTTTGGATGTGTTTTTTGGGGGTTGCTTTGAACTCCCTCCATGATCTTTTATTAATAGTATAGTGTGCAGCTAGGATAGATTAGCCAAGTCTTCCTTTACATCAGTACTTTGTAGCTCACCTTTGCTCGGCCCTCATAGTTTCGGTTCATCACACTGACAGGGGTGCTGGGCAAAAATCAGCTCGAATACGTTTTAAACGAAGCTATTTTTCTGCCTATTACTGTTACATATCGTCATCCTCTCTACTAACTGACTTCACCTGATGAATCGACGTGCAACTTCAGACAGTAGGCCTGAGATCTAGATGGTCATTCCAGTTTAGGGCTGTTCCCTGCTTGAGCTCTACTTTTCTTGTTGTATCTGTAGAGTACTTTTACTGTGTATTTCAGTTCATCTACGTGGATAATGTGACTGCGAAGCGATCGTTGCAAATCATGATGGATCGTGCTTTGTCGCATGCAATGTCGCGCCGTATGAACCAAGGAGGCAGCAGATTGTCGTCATCAACGATATCACCGCCGGCTGCAGCCGCGGTAAATCACTTGGCTGCTGTGATCAAAGCCCACGATGTGGTACGTCGGCTTTGTTTGTTTGCATTTTACTTATTTGCTCTTTCTTGATAGGCGTGCTCATCATGTCCAAAACTCTATGTATGGTCATCTGGTTCATCACAAGGGCAAGTATAGCTTGTTAGATCTTCAGAGTGAGGGAATGGAAGGGTTTATGAATAGGGGAGGTAACGTGGAGGTGGAGTGTGATGTTTTCCACTGTGATCGCCTTCAAACCATTCTACAGCAGTTCATCCATCCAGCAACAGAAAATTTGCATCCAGCATGTCTGTACACATCCTTGTTGGGAAGTAAGCGGTTAAGCAAGTAGATGCAAGCAGCTGCCTTCCATGGTTGCCTTTAACCCCATTTCGAATTGATAGGGGCTGTCTCAATATTTCATCAAAACATGTCTGGAGAAGTATGTTCTGACTAGAAAAATCGGTTTCTTCAAATAGCCCAGGGAAGATACTCATCAGATAGGAGTATTTATTGCTAATGCCCTTGACTTTGCTGTTACTATGAGGGCTATCTAAACATGGGTTTGCAGACTAAAACGTCTTAAGGCGTATCCCCTATGTGTTTACACTTATCCTTACAGTGCTGCTGTCAGGTTTTCAAGTGTATTTTTCAGAAGTTACCGTCGCTTGAACGATCTCGTACATCTCCCGTCGAAGTGCCTGTAAATAATAGCGGTGGGAGTGCTTCACGGAAAAGGCCTCTTGATGACTCTTTATCAACCGGTAATACCAATACGGATGCATTACTCGCGAGTATCAGTCGAGCAACGAGTTCTGGGGTTGTGGAAGGTGAAAGTGAGTTCAATATATATTTTTGTGGTGTTTTTTCTCCTATTGTCACACTTAAGGTAAGGGATGAAAAGTGAATTAACCATTTTTATCAGGGTGCTTTGGAGATTTGGGAACTTCCAAAAATATTTTACACTCAGTTTTTATACAGTTTCAGTTTCGGATGATCTCGAATTAATCCCAATGTTCAATAGCAAGCGAGTTAAATCTGAATTCGAAGGTGATCATGATCAAGATGATGGATCCATGATCGACGATAGTATTCTGGACAACTTAAATCCTATGTGAGTTTGAATTCGTTTTTTGTTGCATAATTAAAAGCTCATTCGACATGCTGTTTGCTCTCATGTTAATTATGTTTCTTATTGTTTGGGACCTACCATTTGGTTCTCATTTTAATCCTACTCTTAGCTGTTTTACTTTGTAATAGCTTTTTTGTAATCTTTTCTTTCTTTTGTAGCTGACTTGAAGAGACCTTGGCCTATTCTGGTGTTTTAGTTCGGTATTGGATAATGTGGCTGCTCTGTTCGCGTCAGATGGTCGACTGGAAGATAGCTATGCCGACTCGCATACAGAGAAACCCTCAAAAAGTCAGAGCGCAAAAGCGTTGAGCAGCGCGTGAGTATTTGTAATTGTTTTTTTGGACTTTGAAAACATTTGCAGTTACTAACTTAATGAGCTGTTTTCGCATTATTTCGTATTAGTTCCAGAATTTCAAAGAAGCGCGTGCTTGGCGAATGCAGTAAGTGCCAGAAACCAGTTACAGCGGGTGCACGTCAAATGCATATGTTCTTTCATCTAGCCAAGGATCACGGAGTAAGTACTTCAGCTTTGCTTCTCGTAACAGTTTTCCCTCTGGTTCATCCGCTTTATGGTATTAAACCCTGTCGACTGTATAGCATATTCGTCGTAGATTGTTAACAGGCTGAGCTTATTGCAAGAATTGCTAAACAACAAGCTCGCACCAGTCCAGATTCGGTCCATAGCACTATTGCATCGCAGCACTTTTTAAGATCAAAATCGCATTTCTCGAGTCTAGCGAGATGGAACGAGTACATATTGACTGTAGCCCAGACGCAAAACGCTTACTTCTTCCACACTACCTCAAAATCTCCTCTTCGAATATCTCATGCTTGGGGATTTCCTTTCGAATAGTTTCTGGTTGATCCCCCTCTGTGATAATTTTCTATTCAATGTTGTGCCATCAGAAAGTAGGTATTCTTCTTATTATATTTCAGACATTCCGTTTCCGATGTCTTTTCGAAGGCTGCACTGTCGAACATTACCGTAAGGACCAGATGGAAAACCATCAGTCAAAAATCCATGGGAAAATAGATCCAGACATGATGGAAGATCGTTCTCTCGAACTTTTCCATCGGTGTCAGGTTAGTACAATAGCATTGTTGAATTATTATTCGACTGTTTCTTGGTTCTCTTATAATGGCGAGTCCCCCAGTATTACGTTCATGAGCCACCTTTCCTTGTGTATTTGATCGCAGTGGTAACGATCAGTGTTTTATGTTGCGACTGGAATCCGTTGTTGGCATGCGTTTCACTTTCCTCAGTAGTTTTTTTTTTGAATCCATAATTCGGCAGTAGCACGCAGCGCTCGCCTTATGGTAAGTATAAACTGTATCCGAATACATACTAGGACTAGAATGGCCTTATGCTAGTAATGTGTTGGTGCTTGTGTGTCAGTGTCGTGTTGTGCATTTCAGGAGTTGAATCATGAACTGTTTCTGGCTCATAAGGCTAATGCTAGCAATAGTGCTGCAGCAGCAGCGGCAGCGGCTGCCAAGGCTGCGGCTGCAGCTGCAGAGACCGCTGCTGCAAATCAAAGTCAGGCCCAACAGCAATCGCAACAGACAGAGCAACAGCAACAGCAGAAGCAGGTTGGTTCTCGGGTGCCACACACTACTAACCACTGCGCGCGCAACTTGAACCTCTGTAACGCTTGATTGTCTTTTAACATGGTATGTCATACTGCACGTGAACTCACTGCTAATGTTTGCATGAATGTCTTTGTGTTTTTTTNNNNTTTTTTTTTCATGGTACTGTATGCTATCAGTGGTCTTGCGGGCTAGTAGAGCGACTTGTTGCAGTACCTTAGGCAAGAAAAGTGGTGTGGCATTGAAGGGATGACGGCCTATCAATAAAGCTAGTTGTGGTTTTGTTGAGAAGCCTATCATGCACATTCTGCCATGTCACATATTCAGTGTAGCTCGACGTCTCGAAGTTAGTGGCAAAATGCGAAGATTGAAAAAGAAATGTGTGAATAGTTTTACTGTAGAAAGATTGAGGTGGTTTGGTTGGGTGAACCTTTGGTAATTTATGAATCTCGTCCAGAATTGATCTGTTGTCGTTGTTGAAATGCTAAAGCGGTAGGATAAGGGGTACGCTACGTTTACGCGATGCGATAAGTTTATTTCTATCGAATTCCCCTTCTGTGGCATGGAAATAGAAGCATCAACCAATAGACCATATTAAATTTTATCAGTTTACTGCCCATCTGTGTTTTGAACTATGAAAGGACTTACGTGAGGTGGATACAGAACAGGAACATTAGGTTTTACATCCTTAACTTCCGATGTTACTGTTGACCAACTGATACAGATTCGGGATAGGTGGCTTAAACCTGTGCGAAAAGCTCTGCATTCCGGGGAGAGGTATGGGATATGACACTAGGATGACCTATTTTATTCGCCATTTTTTTCGCCCCATTCCTATTTGAACATTTGTGATTATTCAGTGCTGCGGGTGCGCTACGTTCGCTGTTCCTTAGCTCACATCTCCGCTACTACAACGTTCCCTTTCTTTGTCGCAGGGTGTAACTGTAGTCTGTCTGGATTTGAACTAGTTTCCTGGAGGCGTTTTGTGATGCTGATGGCATAACACTTTGTTTTTGATGTTGTCTTCGATGTTTTTTTGCTGATGGACTGCATAATTTGTTTGAAACTACAAATATTTCCCGTAATAACTAACACATTGCATTATGTGTATTATTTAAACTCGTGGGCCACGTAATATGAAGCGAATTGCAGGAATTATCTATGGAATTGCTTGGAACAAAAAACGGTAGCACTCCTGGCCCAACCGCAGCAAAAGCGGAGGCCGCTTACAATGCTCAGATTGCTGCTCAGAAAGAGAAGGTGAATAACTTTGATTTTGTCAGTTTTTTCTTTATTGTTACTGAAAAATTGTGTAGAATATCGCGGTTGAGAAGGTTCATCACGTGGGTTAGTATTATAGATAGCTCTGAATTCCTTTTTTTCTGGTTTTTCAAGATTGAGGGAAAATCTAATGAAAGTCTGTCTTGAGTTTGGCATAATTCCATATTAGGAGCCATTTCGAAAATTGTCACTAGTTATGCAAACCCAGCGGGTGGGTGAATGGGGCAGGATGTAGTGAAAATAGTGAACTTTCACGCCTCCCTTGCGGCTTTGGCTATGTTTTATCCATCGTTGTTAATGGTAATTTCAAGAAATCGGTTGTTTTTACGACATTTCGGGTTCAGCGTTATACAAAACTCCCTTGGCAATAAGGGTGGGACACGACTTGAATAGTTTCATCCGTCACTTCCTTTTTTCTCTTGCTTGGTGTGGGGATGTGCGCAGAAACATTCAAAAGAGATACTGTTCGGCATGCATTCGGCTAAAACCACATTTCTTTCAACACGCTGCTTTTTATCCTTCCTTTTCTTGGCCTGTGATCCCCATGCAGTTGGTTGTAACCATGTTCGCTGTTGGGTCACGCTGGTTATTAATCTACATTTTGTGCCGACCCTACGCCCAAAAAAACATAGTTATTGTTTTTTATTCATATATCTTTAGAATAACAAAACTGCTACAGCGCCGGCGCCGAAACCTCCTGCGATCACCGCAGTTGTCCCAAGAGCAGTCCCGGACGAGGAGCACCCTTTAGAGTGTCGTCTTTGTCATAAAACTATGCAAAATAGGGTGGGTTGAGTTCAATTCGCATTTGCTTGGTTATTTCTTGAACTAATTTACTGTCAAGATTTGCTGAGTAATTGAAGTGTTTCAGATACGAGGCTTTCATATTCTCTGGCATATGGCCAAAGACATGGGAATCAACCGATATATTTGTCGAGTTTGTGGATTTGGACACGACAGGTCGCAGTCGGTGCAGGTACACGGAAAGAAAGAACATGGAACTGAAGATGTTGTGCAAGACCGCATTGGGGTGAGTGTGAGCATCTCGATGCAATAGTAATGTGTTGTCAATGGCTTCCATCAATGTTGTCCTCATGAAACTTCCTTCGTGCGTTAACTTAGGTCGTCCATGATTAGATCAGTATGCTGTGTTCATGCATTTACGTCTCCCAGAACTATCGCTAGCATAAGCCATGACGAAACATTTGTATTCATAGCTGAAAACTCTTTTCGAATCATTGGTAAGGTTCAGGAATATTCTGATGAAGTGAAGCAAATGTCTGAAAAGTGCTTCGGCTTTCAAGCACTTTTCGCCCAAGAGCATAAACGCAGAGGAAAGGGTCCGTCAGCAACGGCAACAGTGAGTTTTAAACGTTTCGCGTGCGATGCTAACGGATGCCGTGATATCTAACGTCATATTGTCTGCGAGTGTCTTGTCGAGTCCATTTCAGAAGTTGAAGAAATCGTCAGAGGATGACGATACTCTCGATGATTTGACGTTAGATATCGGGCATGTAATACAGGTAGTAAAAAGTATCCGAAGCGCTACTGTGGGAGTTAGCTGCTAATGTGAAGAGTTCGGAATTTAGGGCGAACTCGATGACGCTGACGGAACACCCGATGAGGATCCTGAAGACGAGCTAGAGACGTTCGAGGATGAAGAAGAGGTTTGTGGTTTGATCTCCAGAAATTGTCAGATTAGGGGAAGATTCTGGAGGCCGTGTTTTTTTTTTATTTCACATCGACCTATACTGGGAAGGAAAGGGACTCGAAACTCAACAAAATTTCATTACTTCTTTTATCTGCATCAGTTTAGGAACGGGATCCAACAGTTTCGCAAAAAGCACGAATTCGTAAACGTCAGAGCCGTTTTCCAAGATTTGGTTTGCGGCGGCCGAAGTCAAAGAGTAAGCGGACGGAAATGGCGAGGTTGCGTGAGATTAGCATGCTCCTTGGAGGAGCGCAGTACTTTAAGAAAAAGCTCTCTGAAGCAGCTCATTGTGAGGTGAGTGACCGAATATATGTTCGTCTGTTTTTTTTTTCATCAAAGTTGGCATAGTGGAGTTCTGGCTCAATATTGAGATGTTGGGAGGGTAATTCTGTGAATTCGGTTTCAGAAATGTGGAAAGATTACGAATTCTCGGATGAGTGAGCATGCCTATACGCATATGGAAGAGCACTTGTTCCTGTGCCCACATTGTGAATTGGTTCGTTCGATTTTTTAAGTAGTCTTTCCATTTGCATGCTCTCTTTTTGTAGTTTGTTTTAGTTATTTCAGGGTTTTATTTGTTATTTCTGCTTCCATGCTTGATGAGAATTGTTGAATTTCTTATTTTCTGTTTTATTACGATTCTCCTAGCTAGTGTACTGATTTGTTGAGGGCTCGAATAATCAAACGAAATCCCTTGTTTTGTAGGGTCATCAATCTCGCGAAATCGTCATACGACACATACGTGAATTGCACGATTCTGAAGATAGACCGGTCGATAACCGACTGAAACATGCAAAAGATATCAAGGCAATGATTCGTGAATGTTATCCCGCTTATTTCGTCGATGCACCGATTCCGACTCAGCAAGATATTGAGAAACTGTAAGTGTGAGATTTTTTTTCAAGTTTTCTGTGAAAGTAATGTATACAGTTGTATCAAGGTAGCTGTGATTAGTGTCTATATGTATACGTGGATATAAGGCTGACAATTACCTATATGTGGCAATAACGGTTTTCATGGGGAAGCAAAATTCGGCTTCACAGATTTCTTTGTAGTCCCTATTCACCCATCATCTTCTGTTTACTGTACGGCTATGATAATCTAATGCACCGGAAAAGAACTTAAGTTGTCCGTACATATGTAGCTATATCGGTCTTATTTTGTGGGTGAATCCAAATCGTTTTTGAGATCGTGCACTTGGAATAAGCTCTTTGTGCAGTAATGTTATGATATCTTTTCGCTTTCGTGTCTTCATTACTTTTCTGCATGGGCAGACGCAGCGACCGTCTTTGACTATATGTTTCTTTGTGAAATAGAAATCAACACATTTCGAGAGCTCTCTTGCAGTCACTGGTATCCTCGGTTATGCCCATGTAATTTGCCTATTCTTATTATTTTCTTTCTAGGAAACAACATATGGGTGAAACTGCGTCGTCTATAATAGCTGGACTGGATGACGATCCCAGTGATAGCGTTGAAGATGAAGAGGTTGCGGATTACGAGGACGATTCGGCTTCGGAACCAAAACTTGTCCTCGATGAAGATGCAGGCCTCGAACTCGAGCAAGAGGACGAGGAAGATCCCGGTGAAGAGGAATATGCCCCTGAGTGAACTGTTGGCCTGTCGTATACTACTTTTTATCGACTTATCATTAGCAATGAATTTGTTGTCAAGTATTCTAGTCATTGAATTTTTATTTTGTTACTAGATACATTTTTGTTTCTTACATATGCAGACCTCAAGGACGTTTCCATTTGATTGTTGTGGGTTTATTTTCATATTTTCTCAATTGCTTGTGTAATTTACTTGTATTCTTTTTCGTCCTTTTTTTTGCAATATTGTTGAGTGTTTTTGATGTATTATGGTCAGTTTATACTGCTTCTTCTACGACTGTTGCTTTTATTACTGGTTACGAAAAACTCAGATTATGCTTCTTTTGTTTAGAGGGCTTGGTTGTGGACGGAAGGCGAATTTCAAACCTAATTTGGGCTGAACGTTTCGTGTGGGGCAGAATAGGCTTGGTAAGGGTTTTTGGACCCTCGGTACCGTATCTCAATCTTCGGTCCGAAGTCCACAACCGGCATTTTACTTAGTCAAATTGTTTACTTGAAGTAACGTCCGCATCTATAGCTTATGTAGCTAGCTGCCTTGAGAATAGCGCTCCATTTCTGTTTACATTTTTGCTCTGTTTTTACGCGACGACATATGCCTAGCGAAATTTGTTGTTATCCAATGTATGAACCCCAATCCCGGTATTTCGAGTGCCCAAATTTCTGACACCTCATCATCTCATTCTCTTTGTAACTAAATGTTGAATTTCATTAACAATCCTTGTCAAGCTGGAGTAGAGCGCGGCGAATTACGTTGTGCTGCATCGCCCGGCTGTCAAAGTGTGTATTAATGTGTATTATATGAACTTCCTTCATCTCGGGGGTGAGATAGGGGCTGTGTTTTGGGTGCAGGCTGTTCACAGGAGACATCCTGCACCAATACACTGCTACACTATCTCAGTTAAATTGTTTTTAATGATTTCTACGTGTAATCTCGTTAAATAATCGAGCTGTTACTCATTTTGTATGTTGCTGAGTGGGTAAATAAAGTTGCTGGCTTACTCCAAACACTGAACTCATCCTAAAAGTAGGTTCAAATTCACGATATTATGCGTGCTGTACTGGCAGTAGATCTCTCGGCATTTGTCTTTGTTGTTTTGATTTTGGCTAGCATCTACTTTGCTAAGGTTCAGATCCCCTCACCATGTGTGGTTTTACCCGTAGTATAGGTATCAAGGTGGCCCACGTTTGTAAGGAAAAGGTAATTTGTAATGACAGTGGTGACTGCTGTAACATGTAGCTGTAGGGAGTCTTTGGTGGTAAAAATAGAGAAATCAAGACTGTGTGCGGAGGTGGTGTGAGTAGCGCATTATCTAACACGCATGGTCACGGGTTCGAATCCGAACCCAAAGGATGGGAGTGTTGATCGAGCCCTATAACGGAATCCGATCTCCGGACCAGGCTGCGTGATAGCGCGCCACTTCCCACTACACCACTTATACCCCTAATCAATTAATAACAGCGTCTAAAAAAGTGAGGGCGGAGGTGGTGCAGTGACATATGGCGCACTATCTCGCACGCATGGTCACGGGTTCGAATCCCGGTTCGATATCCGCCTAGACCAACCAAGCCTCCCATCGCTCCGGGGTCGCTCGATCGGTACCAGACTCGTCTGGGAGGATGAAAGCACTGATTCGTTCATCGACTGGGCACCGCAATTTATTGGGTGGGCCACATACCTATTCAACTCACCCCGACGATTCTGAATGGAAGTCGAATGCGGGGGTACATCCTTCAGACGGGACTGATTAACACCATAAAGACTTTATGAACAATCCAGACTTTCGTATGGCACTCGATCTTAGTATTTTTTGCCTCTCTTTAATGGGTTTTAGGGAAGAATCCATTCCAAGCACTTTCGTAGACCCAGTTTTTTGTTTTATCAAAAAGATGTTCCTTTATTAGTAAGTTAACAGACATTCTCATCAAGTATGTGAGGCTTAGCCTGCAATCGTGGTAGGACAGGGCCCTAAGGCTTCTAGGAGCAAGAGCCTTCATGTCTGCGACCGATTTGTGGTACAAAAAAAAACTCTGGAAGGTCTCACAACTCTGGCAATTATTTATTGTAGGATGAGCATTGATTATTTCGTAAGGGAAGAATATTCTGCTGGCAAGAACTATGAACAGACATGTAGTGATTATTAGAGATGTAGATGACGCGTTCAGAAGAAATCGTCCATATACGATGATGCCGCCACGTGACGTCTGGAATCAGTTCAACTCAGAAGAGCGTTTCTGCGAAAGGAACGTAAGCTGCATTTCAGTACCCAGCATGAGTCTATGGGTGGTTGGTTCCCTGAAGGCTGTCCCACAGAAAACGCGGTTCCCAGCGGCTGATAAGAGTGTTGTTCTTGTAGAGCTGACTGACCTCAAATAGGCAGTTGCTCCGTTTGGCAAAGCGCTTCGGACCATTGCCAATTTATCAAAAAGTGAGTAGTGAGCCCTTTACAGTTCGACGATCTCGTACAAACCCCTGTTTTCCTCAATGGAAGGGTTGTACGAGATCATGAATCTGTAATCGTCGGGTGTCTCCCACATATGCCTACTATACCGTTGGCGTCCTAATGCTCCATTGTAAATGGTGCAGCCTCAAAACCATATTGGGTTTGTACGTCGGCCGAGCCCGTTTTGAAGCCCTTATAACGCCCTATCGATGGCGTTTTTCAATCCGAAATGTATCCCTGGCGATCAGGTTCATCCCAGGGGAAATGTCAGAAACAATTTTTATCGTGAACTGGGCATTTAATAGAAGTGGAGCGCAAGGCCGTGAAACATCTTATTCCATTCCATCAAATAGCGATAAGATGGGGCAGTTCTGGAATGCGACGGTTGGTAGTTCAATAACAGTGGACGGGATTACCTGCGATGAATTGAATTCAGCTTTGGCACACCACCAACAACTCCAGACTCGATGCCACATTCGTCGACTCCCCTCAGAATACGGAAGTAACCTTAATGTTTGTATATCGGTAGGAAGTTCATTTGATGTCAATCCTTACCGTCCTCTCCCCAATCAGTGTTCCAGCTGTTAGCGATCAACCAGTATGGCATTCCTTGTTCGACACCCCATCCGATCAATTTCACTGCATGTCCTCCTCCCAGTCTTCCTCCGGTATGCTGCAGGAAAAACAAGGAAATGCAATGTTGAATCGAACAGGAAGGTAAGCAATAGTTTCTTCAATTTTTATAATTCATGGAGTGAAATAATTCGCATAATGACCATGGTGCCCGTCCAGTAGAATAAATTCAATCCCAGTAATAATCCAGGTGATTCGGTCCAAAAGAGCGTTCATGCTTTGCGACGCAGCATATAAGCGACTCCAATATGAGTAACAGTTAGTGAAATAAAAACGATTTCACAATATCACAAAACCTGAACAATCTGACAAGGGCAAGAATTCTCTCCGCAATCCGATTCCTACAGTAACCTTACGGTGGACTATAATGCTGTGGACGCAGAACTTCCACGACCACGAGTTAGAACCAGGGCGTATAGCTGGACTACCGTAGTGACTGGGTTTCGTTATTGAATTATCGCCTATTATTTACCTTTTTAGTAAAGCCAAAAACACCCTTTGGCGACTCTGTGGACCTTACCCTAGTGTTGGTGAAATTGATTCAAAGCAAAGGTACAAACCACATAGATGCCTCCAGCGTAGTTTAGGAAATCTTCGTACACCTCGAAAGCCACTTCAACAGGACCATGCGTCAGAACCTCCTTTTGAATTGCAGTGACATCATCCTTTACTCCGTAAGCGTTTCGTCCTGAAAATGGTAGTTTTACTTAATTACGGACAAGATGGGTCTATTCGAAGTAACTTTTAAACAGAGATTTGATTGTTTGATTTCAATAGAGGCTATCGACCAGCACTCCTTAGCTACTGCGGAGCATTTCACGTTTCTTCGGTTATGATTTTCAGGCTGTTTAGTTGTCGGCGTAATTCTCGTTTTTCAGAATAAAATTCAGCAATCGTTGATGGAAATGTAGCTGGAGGTGGGGCAACCCTCGTCTCCACCACTGGGTGCTATAGCGCAAAGAAATTGCAGCCAGATTTGTGACTCGTAACGGCGCTTAGAAATCTTTCCTAGCTAGGGAAATACAGTTTTCCTCATGCCCCAGGAGGGAGGGGACACCGAGGTAGGTGATTGCTCTTTCAGCAGTAAAAGTATGCTGGTACTCTACTGCTTACACTTTTGTATACATAATACATGAATCAATGGCCAACACAATATTCAGTTCTTCCCCTATGCCAGCTTTTTGCAGGAGGGAAACATTAACCCAACCCGATGCTCATGCCCAACTGAAGCTTAGGTAGAAAACTATACTGCCCCAGCCGGAATACGTTGCAGGCCTTCCTTCGATGTTGCAGAGTGGAGCGCTTGGTGGACTATTCGAGTTTAAGAAGCACCTGATTTTACTACTTGCGAACGTACATATTGAAACATACCGTAATATTTGTCATCGTTGTAGGTCTTCTCGTTGTAAGTCGGTACACATTTTCTTTCACACTTTGGTGTCGGGAACAGATCATGGCGACAAGGATCGTAGTGGGTTTTGTTCGAGTGATGTTCACAAGGTGGGAATGGATACGGCTAAATCTCACAATACTCACAAACTTGTTTCAGGGCAAAGTGAATGGCTGATAACCTGCATGGCTCACCTTACAGCCCTGATTAGCTGTGAAATTCGATCCTGTTACGATTCCTTCCTTAACCCAGTACTTCCATGCTGCCAGTGGGTCACCACCGTTGCAGCTACAAAAGAAGTGGAATTAATGGTGGATGGTGAAGAGGGGCTGGAGCAGTGTGAAGTTCGAAAGATCATATATGTCTAAGGAACCAGTTAAACGACTTGATGGAAAGATCTTACCCAAAACCGCACGACCTGCAGCAACTTAGAAGATCATCAGCTGAAAGCGAAACCTAAAAAGAATCACTGTCGTTGACTTTCCTTGACCGCAGTATCATTTGTAGTACATTTTCAGGCGGCAATATCAGAATATGTATGTTCACTCGTGGGATGGCACCAAATTCCCCTAAAGGTCTCAACATAGTTTTTTTCTAAAGGCGATAATTTAATCAGCTCGATTTTTTTCGCTTCTGGTCGAACAGGGAGAACTGGATCAATCATGTATGAGGAGGACCGTGACCACAGTTTTTAATACCACATTTAGAGGTCGTTGTAAGGCGACAAGATGACAGTACCCAGCTTCAAACATCAATGCCACTGCGGTGGTCTGAAATGGGCTGGGATGGGAACTGCACGGGGGGAGACATCAGCTGGTCGTGTAAGGGCTCTTCTTTTTCAAAAGGCTACGTTGGACTATTCACAACAGAGAGGTGAAGTTGTTTTACCTGGATTTCTCCTTTTGAGGCAATGCATATACGATCCGACATTGCTTCGACAGCTCCAAATGCCCAGCATGATCCTTAAATTTACAAATTTCAGGGATTCTTCTGAACTCTTATACAGAACGATATGTTTCAGTAAGTCATTATGTTGATGGTCTTTAACATACAGTGTGGACTAGTCAAAACCATTCCCTTAGATTTAGTCTGCGAGTCGGAATGCGCTCACCGTACGTGCCTCTGAGCCATGCACCTGTCTAGTGACCTGGTGTAGCGCACATATCAGCTTTAACACAAGGTCCATTTTTCGCTGTATTCCCTGCACTTCAACATTCTCAGTTGTTCTAGCAAGATGTTGTCTTGGCTTATTGACCGTCTGGGTAGTTTGAGCGGGTGGGCCAGATGATATGACAAGCACAATTGTTGCATTCGGGCCTTGTTTTACATTTTCTTGCCAAACTTCCGTCCAAAGGGAATGGGACTTTCCATCGGAGCCTACTGGCTCACAGGTTCTAGGCTTCTAGGCAGAGCTCATGGTTTACAGTAAGCGCCGCGAGCAAATCTAAATATTTGGTCGAGGGGAAGCAGGCTTAGGGCACGGGAGTCATTGCAGGAACGTGACCAAATGAGGTTACACTGCGTACATTGGAATCTCATAGAGAGAATCAGTTTGGACAAATACAAGGATATAAGAGCGCGACTAACTTGCCGGAGGGGACATTGTTATCACGCAATTACGAAGGGTGTTGTCAGCATCCTTTTTCATTCGATTTCAGTTATGCTGCTTTATGTCATGTTGTTCAAAAGTAGAACTGTAGAAGGGGGTTCGAAGTGTAAGGGTATGTAAAGTGTTGTATCAGTTGTACCCCCACTGCACTTCCTCCTTTTATGGTTTACTTTTCAATTCGCTATTTACTTACCACAGCTGGATTGATCCCGAATGACCTTGATAGAATCGCAGTCGGGCCATTCTTCTCGTGCATCGAACGACTCCGGAATGTCGATGTCTAAGTCCTTGGTGGTGGACAGATGCTGTTTTGCCTGTGTAAACCAGATGATAAGAATCACGCGGTGACAGGAGGCGCTACAGACATCTGCTCGAAATAGGGCAGTGATAAGAGAAGAACGGCTGGAAACGTACCCTCACACTCAGGCGCACATTATTCACACCCATCAGACCCCATTTTGTACGATCTGGATAGCGAGCGAAACGACGATTCTCCTTTGCCTAAACAATTGAGATTTATCGGCTTGTTGGCTGGGAAAATGAACATTTTAGGAGTTCTCCAGCTTTTTGTCCAATTTTGTCCCACTCCAGGGAATATATGAGGGATATCGAACCCCAAAGTGAAGAGTTTGGCACAATAAGTATAGTAGTGAGCCTGTGCTAGACCAAGGGATGTAATCCACCATAATGCAAGTTCGGCCTGGGAATCGATACCCACCCACGTCATCACCCATATCTCTGAGGTCAGCCCACTGGTGGCGGACTCGTTCAAGAGTATGAAAGCGGAAAATCTGAAATCGGCTGGCCATTGTTAGGGCCACAGTGACTGGTGGCTACGATTTTAAACGGAAATTCCAGGGGTTACTACATCCAAAAATGGGACTGACGATAGCCAATGGTTTTAGTCTCTATTATAAAAGAGGGATCCCCTACCAACCTTCCATAATGACTGGTGGCTGTTCACATAGTCGATCAACTCTCGTCCTGTTAATTCCTCTGCTTCTGTTGGAATTCTGCGATTGCGGAACGAATCTTAAAATTTTAGTGTTTATTAAAAGGTCCTATTTATCACTGTATTCCGAAGTGGACCAGAGGAAACTTCTTTTTTTTCAATTATGCTCGCGTCCTTTACAATCACGTAAGTTTAGTTGGATCATTAGTTTCTGGACCATTACTTACCAGGGAGGGGTAGTCTACTTATCTTGGAACTTTGAATTCAGACCCAGATAAATCGATAGAGTTTCGAATGCTGTTTACGAAAATGGAAATTAAAACTGCAAAATGATTCTCCTTAAAAAGTTATGGGGGCCCGAATTTTGCTCGACAGTAGTATCAATTGGAAATGCGAACTCGTCGCTTCCATATCAAACGCCCACGTGACCTAGTGGTAGTGGTCTCGCTTCGTGGGCGTAAAATGAGGGGTCCCTCCCCGCCATTTTCCGCACTTTTGCAAAGTGTTTTTTCATTTTATCAAAGGCTTTCTAAACGTTTTCTGACGTTTCTTTAGACAATTGATACTACTGTCGAGCAAAATTCGGGCCCCCATAACTTTTTAAGGAGAATCATTTTGCAGTTTTAATTTCCATTTTCGTAAACAGCATTCGAAACTCTATCGATTTATCTGGGTCTGAATTCAAAGTTCC